AGGCGCTTTTTGCCGCTGAGCTAAATCCCCAACCCCTTGTAGTTATTTAGTAGGTTTATTAATTCTTTTATATCCCACGTGTTAAAAGATTTTCTCACAGTCTAGTTTTTTACCTTTTATTTTGGGTGCTCCTCTCCCATAACAGAAAATTTAGATTATTATATAGTTAAATAAATCTTATCAATAACTTTGAGGTTATATAAGCGTTTCTCTAGTTTTTCATTTAATAGCATTATAACTGATATCTCTGGTATGTATTTTTAGCTGGCAGAAGAAACACGGCATTGTTCTGGGGAGAAGATGAATGCCTGAGAGGATAAGAGAAAGATCTTAGCACAGAACCTGGCAAAAGGAAATCACTCAATGTTTTCTGAATGAATAAATGAGTGAACAAATAGATGCTAATTCTCAGCCTTTATTCTCCACTACCAGGATTTTCTAGGAATCTGCTTTTCAAAAGTTGCTGTTAAGTTTGGGGGGTAAGTACTGACTCTTTGCTCCTCCCCAGATAATACAAGTTCCCTGCAACTAATGGTTCTAATAGGAAAGCCCAGAGTGGGAATCTGAACTTAGCTCTCACTTCTTGCTCTTTTACAGATAACATATTCAACCTTGAATTTTCCTTTCTGTAAAATGGGGAAGGAAATTTTTAAAAATACTTAGGATTCTCAACAAACAGAAACTACCTAATTATATAACATATAATTCATCATCTTTCAACTAAGGTTGAAGCTAAAGCTTGGGGGAAAAAAATCACATTCATAGGAAGAATTCATCTTATGATCCAAGTGTAGAAACAGCCTTATTTATAGACTGGTCATCATTAGAAAATAATAAGAAACAAATAACACCGACTTTCTGATATCATATCTCAAATACTGAGTTCCTGTGAAAGGTCAAGGCTGTAGACTATGATTACAAATCACAAAACCTTGCAAAAAACAAAACAAAATATCAAGGGCTGCTGAAATCCTTTTTAATCAGCAACTTTGTTCTCCATGCTTATGGATAATTTATAATTATTTATTTCCCTTTCCTACTTTTAAACTTTCCATTTCACTATTATTTTAGCAAAAAACAAATGCTTAAAGTCAATCCTCAAAGGAAAAGGAATGACCCTGGTTTATATAATCAGCATTTATCATCTGACATCCTACAAAAAGCACATGAAACACTGGTCTCAATATACAACTAGTTATTTTCAGGGGTTCATTTCATGAACTACCATATGTTTTATTTCTCTTGGAGTAGCACATGAATTTTCCTTGAATTGCCATTTGATTCCTAATGGATACTTAAGTTTGATTCTGAGTGCTTAAATAAGCCTAAAGAGCTCCAAAAATACAAATCCACACAGTGCTGTTTCCAGTTTCTGCAACTCTAACAGGCTTGTACATGTGTTCCCTCCCATCTGGGAAACTAGAAAAGAAGCTCTTGTACCATGGTTCTTAGAAGCTAACATTACAGATGATTATTGTAACCACTAATGGTAGCATTTGGAAAACAAGGGATGGTTATAACATAGTAAGGGACATTTTTAAATGTACAAGTATACATTTTCAGGGCCTATTATCTGTACCATCTGAAACTGCCACAAGCTAAAATAAGGGAAAAGATGCTCCCATACTAAAGTTAAATATTGTCTTCTACCTTTATACAAGTGTGTAAAGCAGTCACATATATATGTCCAGGCAGTAACAGCCATAATTCTCTGCTGAGATTTAATAGTGCTACAGGCTCAGCACTTACCTATAAAGGAGTTTCTGTGGCTTATAGTAAATATCCCCTATAGGAATTCACTCCCTAGAGTCTGAAAGCTTCATTTTTATATCCAACCATGTCTGGAACAAAGCATAATACAGCACACTGGTTGGAAAAAAATTAATGCAAGAATGATAGAAAGAATGGGGAAGTGAATGAAATTAACCACTAAACTTGCTTTTCCAATGTGAAAAATATTTGGTTTCAAAGTCCACAGTATAAGACTGATATAATTAAATAGAAAATTCTTTCAATTAGTAAGATTCTCAATGTTTATTTCTTTAGTTCCTTAAGTCAATGGCTAAAGATTTTATTAAAGAAAACTCAAATCTCAACCATGGTATCAGGCACGGATACCCAAACTAAGACCATTTCTGTTTAGATCATAATGATTCATTTATATAACTATTCTCAATTGAGGCTCTTTGCAAATATCAAAATGGTAGGGAGGAAAAACACAATAGCCTTGGAAATGAAAGCAAATACAGGTATAATTTATCATTATGCTGTACTCCTTTGATATGTTAATTATTACAAGTAAAGATAGCAGCCATTAAACAGGTCCCTGTATGTGGAGAGCCTTAGTGTCAATACAGGTACCCATTAACTAATTGCTCACAGACATTAGCCGAACCAAAAATGTTACAAACCACAAGTTATATACGAAGACTATAAAAAAGCCATTATATTTCTCAACTGAAAAGGGCTTATAACAAATCTATAACCATTATTAACAAAACCAATCTCGAAGGATGAATGACTACAAAGAAGCTATTCTATAATATGTCAAAAATCTGGTTAGTGCCACCTAATTAACACTTAAAATGACATTAAATTAGACTTGAGATTAACCAGTGTTCCTACAGTGGCCAAAAACTAGATCTATTATATAAAAGCTATTAATTTTTCACAAGGTATACAAAAACTAAAACTAGGC